TTTGGTTTTCTCACCTGTCAAATAAAGGTTTGGGATTAGATTACTAAGAAGCCCCTTTTTGGTCTTGTAATTTTACAGCTAACAAATCACAAATGTTTTCTAATACCAAAGTTGAAACTGTGGGCTTTCAAATTAAATAGGCTCACGTTCCAATTCTGACTCTGCAACTAACCAGCTGTTTAACTTTGGCCAAGTTACTTAACATCTTTCTACTTTAGGATTTCCATGCACAAAACAATACTTTCTTATTTCATTGAGTGTAAGAGAGAGGCACATTTTAACATTTCTGAAATCAAGATGCATCTTACATTTGGTGGCATGACACAATTTTAGTTGCCATTATTTCATTCTTAGGAGTATATGAATGGTGCCTCTTATAATCTATGGCCTTTAGATTCAATGAAATATGGTAATAAGGCCAGGTGCGGTGGCTCATGCCTATAATCCTAACACTCTGGGAGGCCGAGGCAGGAGGATTGCTCAAGATCAGGAGTGAGCAAGAACGTGAAACCAGCCTGAGCAAGAACGAGATCCCGTCTCTACTTAAAATAGAAAGAAATTAGCCAGACAACTGAAAATATAGAAAAAAATTAGCCGGGCATGGTGGTGCGTGCCTGTAGTCCCAGCTACTCAGGAGGCTGAGGCAGGAGGATGGCTTGAGCCCAGGAGTCTGAGGTTGCTGTGAGCTAGGCTGATGCCATGGCACTCTAGCCCAGGCAACAGAGTGAGACTCTGTCTCAAAAAAAAAAAAAAGAAATATGGTAATAAAACACCTTTCTCATAGGGTTATTGTGAGAATTAAATGAGAAATGCATACAACTAATTAGCACATATTAAATTCTCAATAAACACAGTTACTGAGAATCTACAGCATAATATCTTTTTTTTTCTGGTAGAAGAGACAGACACTGGTTTAATATTGGTTCACAGATTTTTTTTTTTTTTTTTGAGACAGAGTCTCACTTTGTTGCCCAGGCTAGAGTGAGCGCCGTGGCATCAGCCTCGCTCACAGCAACCTCAATCTCCGGGGCTCAAGCGATCCTCCTGCCTCAGCCTCCCGAGTAGCTGGGACTACAGGCAGGCACCACCATGCCCGGCTAATTCTTTTTTTTTTGTATATATATTTTTAGTTGGTCGATTAATTTTTCTATTTTGGTAGAGTGGTCTCTCGCTCAGGCTGGTTTCGAACTCCTGACCTTGACAATCGCCCGCCTCGGCTCAGTGCTAGGATTACAGGCGTGAGCCACTGCGCCCGGCATTCACAGATATTTTTAATACATCCTTCCTCTAAAAATCCTTCTTGGTTACAGTGCTTGAAAAATGTCTCTCCTTGCTACCCCCGTTCACTTTTTATAAAGTATCATGAGGTGCTAATCCACAGAGTAATTTGGAACCCTGATTTATGCATCAATGAAACAAAAAGGGATGGAAAGAGAAACATGTAGACCCTCGTGTATAAGACACAAAGCACAAGATGGTCCTCATCTGGATCTTGTCACCCAGGGATGGTATTTACACGCACTGGTCCCTTGCAGAAGACAGCAGGTGCACCGTGCTAGCTGGTACTGCCAGCTTGCTTGTCTATTTCTCTTTCAACAGGCTTTGGACCTGTAGAAAATTTGCAAAAAGACAGGGAAAGACACAGAGCCTCCACACCACAGAATCTGCGTGGAAGCCCTTTGGATGATTTGAAATGCTCTAGAAGGTTTCTGTCAATTAGAGAGCGAGAGAAAAAAAAAACCCCAGTTCTTTGTCAATTTCGGGGAGTCTCAATTGCCCCCAGAAAGACTTTGCAATGTAAAGATTTTGGCAACGATGTGCTCCCATAAAGCAGCAGTCCCCAACCTTTTTGGCACCAGGCACTGGTTTCATGGGTGACAATATTTCCACAGACGGGGTTGGGGGAGGTAATGGAGTTCTGCACCCCGGTAGTCCCTAACAGGCCACACACTGGTACCGGTCCATGGCCCGGGGGTTGGGGACTGCAGCTGTAAAGACTGCTCTGTTATTGGGTAGTCTTCCTACAGTAAAAGTTGTAGGTCCTTTTGACCTTGTCCCCTGAATGAATGGATATTGTCCAAGTGCTCACCCCATCAGCTGGAAAGGCTGCATGGTAGAGAGACATAAAAGCGTGTTGTTTGGGTTTAGACAGATTTGAGTTCATGTCCTGCTTGAGAAAATCACTTATCATCATTGAATCTTAGCTCCCTCATTGGTAAAAGGGGAAAAAATAAAGCCTTCTGTATGGGACTAAGGTTAACATGAAATCAGATCTCCCATATGAAGTACTTAGCATAGCACCTGAGACTGTGAGATATCTACCTATGTACCCACCCATCCATCCATCCAACCATCCATTCTCTATCCATCCCTCTACCCATCTATCTTTTTTTCCTCCTTTCCTTCCTTCTATATATCTACTTACTTACCTATCTATCTAGCTACCTATTTCTACCTCTTTATATCTATCTACCTACCTACCTACTTATATACTTATTTCTGTCTATGTCTAGCTTTCATCTATCTATCTATCTATAAATCATCATCTGTCTGATTTTGCAAATCCTTGGCATGTTTGAACGAAAAAGTTGTTTTACTTTGAATTCCAGTGGGATCGTTATGATGCTCGGGAAAATTATGCAAGTGTTTAGCCAAGAACTGAGGCAAAGCAGCAATAGTAGCGTAGACTTTCTCAGAGCTTTCTGGGTTCAGATTGTGTGACGGTCTAAATGGAAATGTATTTAAAATAATAGAATTCATGTGCAAAAGTCACAGCTTTTCTTTCATAGACTAACAGCCTTTTGCATCTTTTAGTTTTTGAGATACTGTAATTAAACCGAGCATTTAATTTCTAATAATGCCACCAGACAGAAAGCATAAGTCCACCAAAATGCCATCTGCAGCGTCGTGTAGATTCTTAAAGCACAGCCTGACTAGGGGACTCAGTGGCTGTCTCTGTGCCAGTCCCCACTAATCCACCTCGCCCCAATTTGTTGGCTGAGCCACCTCCATACTGTTGTTTGTGCAGACCATCTATGCATGTGTGCTCTTTCCTCTAAGGAAACTGAAAAGGGAGGGGCAGGGTAGCAAGAAACATTTAAAGGTCAGGAGAGAAATAATTACGACCATGACTATGATTGCCACTGAGACATGATGTGCTTAGAAGAGGCCTTGAATATACCAAACTTCAAACCCATCTCTGCTTGGACCGTAATTTTTAAATCCAGTTTTGCTTTGTTCCCTTTCTTGATGGCTGCTAGTGTTGATTTTCCTGGGCCTTAAATCACCAAGCTGTCCCCGGGTTTAAAGGGCTCTCGATGGGTCTCTGCCACCATTTGGGGGTGAGACCGTCGGAATCTTTCCTCGGAAAAATCCATATGCATGCAAAAGTTGGCATCAATTTCAGGGAAGAACCTCTGGACCATGAGATAGAGTCTGAGATCTGAATTCCCAGGGCACAGAAAGACCTTTGGGATCTTGTCCCTTGTCTACACGGCCACTATCCGTGCCCACTCACGCCCCCATCTCAGCCTGTGTTGCAGCCACGTTAATTTAATTGCAGAGTAGTTAAGACCATGGCCTCTGCCTGGGCTCAGACTCTGGCTCAACCCACTTAGGCTTCCAGGAGTGTTTTGTAAGCTCTCTGTGCCTCAGTTTGCTCATCTCTACAATGGGAATAATAATAGCGTCTCTCCCATAAGGAGTACGGAGGATGAATGAGTTAATACAGATAAGGCACTTAGAATCATACCTGGCACATGATGCACGTTGAATAAGCACTCATTATTTTTATCAGCTATACGGTTTTCTGTATTTGCACCTCTCTATCCAGTATGCCTTTCCACTCCCCAATCCTAGCTCCACTTAACTGGTTCTAACTCCTCTCTCAAGAGATGCAGTTCAAGCCTTGTTATCTTGTGAAGACTTCCACGATGTTCTGACAATGCCTCATCCCCCTTACATATAAGTCATGATCAATGTCCTGGTTTACATATATGCTCCCATTTGCACATGTGTTCCTAGGCTAATAGATGTTTCCTTCTTGTTCGCCTAGTCTCTGGCTTTTAACCCTGTACCTGCCACAGGGATGGCTCCTGCTGAGATCTTGTCTGATGAATGAATGAGTGAATGAATGATTGGATAGATGAATACCTTCCCTAGCAGGGAGAGAAAGGCCCGTGTGTCTTGATGATAGGTTTGTGAGTCTTCAGACACTTAACTGGGGCCCCCTAGGTGGCCTGTGCTCCAAAGCGCTTTCTCGATTGTTCTGGAATACGCTCAACTGTTGACTTTGAAGAAATGGTGATTATTGTTGAGAATCCTTTACACTTTTAAAAACAATGGATCAATTGAAATTATGTATTTGTTAAAAGTTTTAAGTCAGAGCTCTCTTCAAAATAGGCTCAGAAGTTTTGGGACCAAACAGGAAGAAAATTTCCAAAGCCAGAGAACTTTCTAAGAGTTTCCTCCTGTGAAACTCCCAGCAACAGCCCCTGCTCGGTCATCCTGCCCACGGCCCCTGCTTCATCACGTAATACAAACGAGAACAACACGGACACGACTTCTCTCTGTCTCGGCTGGTAAACATTCATCAAAGAACACAAACTTCTCAATAGGGCAGAAAACAGAAAAAAAGAAATGAAAAACAAAGAGGAAGGTTCATTTGGTTCAGTAATTGTGTTGTTGTTGTTGTTGTTTTTAAACACACATGAGGCCAAATCACTGGAATCCTGCAACCAAGGACGAAAGGAAGCTCTGCAGCAAACCAGAATTCTGTTCCTTCAGAGATTATGCCTTTTCGGAAATTCTGCTCTCAAAAGGCCAACATCGAATGGGCATGAGAAGTATTCAGACAGCACAAATTAACTCCTTAAGTATTTTTGCAACTCCGCATCGCTCTCTGGGAGTACATTCCTTAAGGAGCTATTGAAAAACAAAAACGAAAACGGAATATAACTCAACAGTCCTGATAATGTATAATGCATATACAATTGGTTCACCTGCATCCTTTTGATTCTCTATTTGAAAGAGAGAGAGCACAACAAGGAGAGAAGAGAGAGAAACAAGAACACATATGCAGGATTAATGAGCAAGTGGACCAAAATGCCCCCCACTTATGTGTGATACATGATATTGGAAAGAAAAGGTTGCCCCTTGGGTTCCCACCGCCCCGAAGTGTGGGGGCCAGCAAAAATAGGCTCCTTCACAGAAGTGGGAAATGCTGCACAAATAGAAAATTAGTAAAAATCAAGTTTAATGTGAAATCAAGCTATGAAACATACATGAACTCTCCAAGTGACAATTAAGTCATATGTTCTAGCCAGAGCTTAGAGGACAGGGACAAGTCAAAATCTCCAGAGAGAACAAGGAATAGTTTCCCAGCTTGAGAGAGGAACAGACAGGAGGCATATACCATCTGATTTTACAGAGAATGGACCACCTGGCGTGATCTCATACCCGTAATAGTTTGGCATCTTAAACGTGGAAAAGAAGGCATGACTTTGCCCCGAATGTCCTTGACCTGACACCTCACACATTGCTCCCCGGCCTAGCTGCTACCTTTTGATTGTGTACCAGTGACAAGCACTTTACGGATCGGGGTTACACACAAGCAAAGTAAAAATGCATTCAGGTCACAGACAGAGAATAACTGAAAAACTTAACAGACAAATCTGAGTTTATCACAAACAAATGGCTTAATTGTCTAACCTGTTTGTAGGCTGATAAAAAAGTGACTGGACTTCTCACACTGGGTTTCACAGACAGAACCAACAGACAAGCCAATGCTAAAAAACTTGAAGCAAGGAGAGTGAGTTGGTTTGGATCTGGATTTTCTTGAAATAATGAAAACAGAAAGAGTGAAGATAGCATGGTGAGGAGGTGGTAGGTACTCACGAATGGTTAAATCCATCACTTGGGAGGCCAAGCAGAAGACAGGATGCTCATACATTTCTCTCTTTTTCCCTATAAAAGAGGATTTGGGCATGCAAGAGGCTTAGGTCAGAGGTAAAGAGGTTAAAGGTCATAGGTTAGAGGAAAACGTTACATTAGCTCAAAGGAAAATAGCCACAGAGTATTTTGGGATAAACACAGGATAAAAGAAAAAAAGGAGTTTCCAAATTGGAGATCTACTGGATTAACCATTCAGCATGCCATGAGTCACGAGAGAGATTGTGACCATGATTTTACACGTCTCTTTAGAGTTGTTTGCAAGAATACAATGATCAAAAACATCATGAGTAGAGGGGAAACAAAATTTCATTGATTTAAGGCTCCAAGATACTAAGGATTTCAGACTTTAGTATCTAAGGCTCTTGAGGTATTTCTTCATAAACATAGTCTCCGGCAATATTACTACAACTTCTTTCCAAAATTCTCAGATAACTAAGCTGTAAATGCTCACAGAGGGCTCCAAGGTTAAACATGGAAGATGGCTTTTCCGAGGGTAGGATCAGAGCCTTGTAAAAGAAAGTTGTCTGGTAGTAATATCTTTAAAGCTGCAACGTCTCAGCCTATGGTGGACTATGTTCATGGAAGAAAACCTGACGCATGCAGCCAGAGAATGTTGGGTTGTCTGAATTAACAATCCCAGCATGCTTTGAAATTGGCGTCTCAGCCACTTTCCCAGAGGGCCCGTCAAAAAGTGGCTGAGCCAATCACGGACAAGGAAGGAGAGAAGCAGAAGAGAGCAGGTAGTGTGGAATGAGGTACTTCTCTGAAAAGAGAGTTGGAAAAAAGGGATTGGTTTCTTCAAAGAATTCCCAGACCTAAAAGTCACAGTGCAAAAGATAATTAACACAACCAAGAAGAATTGAGGCACAAAAGGAAATTACAGACCAGCTGATCTACTTTGGAAATGAATGCATTTTTACTTACAGATCTTAAAGTTTGTTTTGGGATATATTTATCTGAAAGAAGAGAGCAGATCTTACCAAAAGACTAGTAATAGCTAGACCAAGACCCTTGAGGCAGCAGCCATGGCAACAGAACGTTTCTTGATCCCATCCCATCTCTGGCCTTGCCTACTATGATTCGGTACCCGGCTGACTTGACCAAATACGACCAATCGTTACATCCTGGGACGGTAAATGCTGGAACAATTATTTGCTAATATAGCCCCTTAACGATCTTCTTGTTCCTCTATTTTTGTCACTCATTACCAAGTTCGAGAGTTGACAAACATCCTTTTAGTGCCCAATTCTTAAGTGTTTTTCCCTGGATGCATAACAATGAATTCATTACCACTGGTACACAATTTGCATCGTCAGACAGACAAAATCGAGAGAGGGAGGACATGTAGTATACAGAACACTGCGAATCTGACACGGTCTTAACCTAATTCGCTAAGGAAACAAGGACTTTGGCAGAGTAAGTGATGGGGCCTGGGCGGTTGGTTAGTATTTATTTTTCCCCCCAGTCGTCCTGAGGCAGACAATACGCATTTGCTGGTTTTAGTCAGGTGTTGCGTGAGAGGACATCAGATTGCAGAATGGGGACACATCGAATTTTGCACACAGAACTTCCACATTTATACACTTACACCACTGGTCAAGTTGGATGTGGTTTTCAAATCACCCTATAGCAGCCAACAGGGTAACAATGAAAAGTGATTAATACCTTTGCGAATAAATCAGGTCCCAAAGAACCATAATCTCCGTCTCAAGTAGAGTTTACTCAAAGTGCCTTTGGTGATGACTCGGTCATCAGTGACCACGTCCCTAAAACTCGTGAGGGCAGTGGTACCAAGCATCCAAGCTCTGGAGTAACAAGAATGAATGAGCTCTAAGGCCAGCCTGCAGGGTCAGGTATGGCTCAGCGCTAACCTGACATGGAGTCTGAAACACTACCAAAAGACAAGGCACTTTTTCAGCTTAACATACTCGGGTGGACCACTGTTTTCTGGTGTCTTTCAGAAAAGAGAGAGACTTCCCCAGGGAGGCGTACCAAAATTTAAATTCAAAACTGGGGGCAGGAGGGAGCCTCACCTTCGATTTTGGCATACTCTGAGAGCCGGGAATAGTTCACCAGAGCAGCCTGCTCCAGACATTTACGGATGACAGTTTTGACCTCCTCTTGGGGTACTGGGGTAACGATATCTTTCATCAAAACCTTCAAGTAGAAAAAGAAAAAGGGGATTATTATTATTAAGAAGGTTCAAGCCAATGTGTTACTCCTTCATACTTCTTGAAGAGTTCAAGTCTAAAATGAGTTGTGAATATTTCCTGGGACTAAATATGGATTGGGAACCATCACTTAAAAAAACAAAAAACAAAAGCACTAGAATTGCAATGCACAGTTAGGATGGCAAAGCCTGGTCATGAATTAGGGAAGGACTTGGAAATACCTTCTATATATCCTATTTGGGAGTCTGGAGATAAAATATCAAGAATTTTTGGCAGTTTCCTCACTTTTATTCTGATTTTTTTTTTTTTTTTTTTGAGACAGAGTCTCGCTTTCTTGCCCAGGCTAGAGTGAGTGCCGTGGCGTCAGCCTAGCTCACAGCAACCTCCAACTCCTGGGCTCAAGCGATCCTCCTGCCTCAGCCTCCCGAGTAGCTGGGACTACAGGCATGAGCCACCATGCCCGGCTGATTTATATATATATTTTATTAGTTGCCAATATTTTCTTTCTATTTTTATGGTAGAGAGGGGTCTGCTCAGGCTGGTTTTGAACTCCTGACCTTGAGCAATCCGCCCGCCTCGGCTCCCAGAGTGCTAGGATTACAGGCGTGAGCCACCCGCGCCCGGCCTTTTCTGATTATTGATGAATGGTAAATAAATCCTTTACAAATGACAAACTAGGTCATCCACCACAATATTTTAATTGCAATTACGTTGTGTGTGTTTCATTATAGATGTGATTTGTCTTTTACTTTCATTCTTACCCTTTCCAAGAGTGAGAGGGTAGCTTTTAAAGCACCTTCAGGTCGACCAAATGGAAAGCAATACCTAAAAAAGACATAAAATGCTTAAGGTTGCCCAAATTATTACATTTCGCATGAAATATGCTGCAATTGATTCCTATAGCAACTCTCTCGGAGGACGGAAAATGCTTTTTTTTTGTCACGTTGTGTTATGTTATCTGATTCACACATATATGTGTGTATATAATTATATGTGTATTGTGAATAATAACTAAAGAGGGACCCTGGCAAATGTCTGAGGGAAAAAGAATATCGAGTGATGACACCAGGCTGTTTGGATTTCTATTGTGAAAGAAACTATTTGTTAAGCCCAATGTGACCTTAATATTCATACTGGAGCATTAAACAAAATATTAGTTGAACAGGCTGAAATGCAAACTATTTTCCTTAAACATCTCCCCATGAATTATATGTGGAATAGAAGAGTGTATTTATTTATTTTTATTTTTATTTTAGAAGAGTGACTCTGTGCCCAGGCTAGAGGGAGTGTCATGGCATCAGGCCTCCGCTCACAGCAACCTCAATTCCTGGGCCAGTGATCTCCTCCTCAGCCTCCCGAGTAGCTGGGATACAGGCATGCGCCACCATGCTGGCTCAACTTTTTTTCTATATATTTTTAGGTGCCAATTAATTTCTTTCTATTTTAGTAGAGACGGGATCTTGCTCTTGCTCAGGCTGGTCTTTGAACTCTTGACCTCGAGCGATCCTCCCGCCTCAGCCTCCAGAGTGCTAGATTGGCAGGCGTGCAACTGCGGCCTGGCCGGGGGAGTGTATTTAGAACAAATTCATGATTCTGCTAACTGTCCTTCCTTGCTTGCTATTTTTCATTGTTATAGAGCCTTTTGCTGTTGGCAATGCCATTTTTACATATAGTTATCTAATCCATAAAGATTTATCGGGAGGGCTTTTTGATGGCACGAAAGAACTGCGTCTGGTGCCACTAGAAATTCCATTGACTGTTTCAGGCCCGCAGGCCCTTGAAACACTATTCCTGTCACAGACAGACCAGCATGGCCACTCAAACCCAGACTATCCTATGTCCGCATCCCATGCTCCCACTTGCTGGCTGAGAGGCCTTGGGAAAGTTCAGTCTCATTTTATTCCTACTATGTTTCCTGGAAAATAAGACCTCCCCATAAAATGAGCCCTAGCAGGATGTCTAAGCATGTGCGCAATAGAAGCCCTACCCCGAAAATAAGCCCTAGTGCTGGGCTGGCTATGAAATAAGCCCTGAGTGGCTGGGTGTCGTGGCTATGAAAATAAGCCCTAGTGATGGGCATGGGCTTGACAATAAAGGCCCTATGTGATGGCAGCATGGTATGAAATAAGCCCTGTTTATGATGACACCACTGCCTACTCAAGGCATGCTGGTGGCTCAGAAATCAAAGAGCCCCTAAGACCCGGCCGCGTGGCTATGAATAAGCCCTATGGAATGGGGCGTGGCTATGAAAAGCCCTTGGTGATGGGCGGCTGAAATAAGCCTAGTGACGGAGCGGTGCGCTACGCAGGCACATCTTGCACAACCCATGCATGTCGTCGCGGAGGCGGAAAGAACGAGCGCTTCTCTCTGCCCCGTGGACAGCTCTACGTGCTCGACAGGAGGTCCAGGGCCAGTGGTTTTAGGGAATAGAGTCGCAAGACATTCAGTGGTATTTGGGGGTTTGGGAGGGTGATGATGATGTTCCGAGACGACTTCACTATACTTGAATAAGTGTAGATGGTTGTACTGTACTTAAAAATAACCATTGCCCTGAAATAAGCCCTAGGGTTCTTCTTGGGGAAAATCTCTCGCCTCGCTCTTCTTTCGGGAAATACGGTAGTTTAACGGGGATGATAATAAACTTACCAAAGTATTCTGGATCCACTGCCTTCCTCCTCTCGGCCTCCAGTCCTATATATGGCAGGATGGAAGTATTATAATAGGACTTATTTAAACGTGATTCCTACTTTGATTATATTTTCGGATCCTGTGGTCCAGAACCACCAGCAAAGCATGAGAAGCATGCACCGATGCCAACTCTGTGCAAGGGGGGAGCTGAGCTGATGTGGTGTAGAAGCTGGCTGTCCGACCAAGAAGATCACTACTAGCCAGTGGATACCGATTCCTCTCCGCGAGTAGCACGAGCTCATCCTGATATTCATGAGAAGTGGGTGAGAAGCAGAAGAAGAGGATGCCTTATAAGCACCATGGCCTGCACTGTTCGCACTGACGGATACACAATAGTCCGCAAAGCACGAGGATTGCTTTTACTGTTTTATTAGTGAGAACTCTTGGTCTTCTGAGACAGGAGTCTCACTTTGTTGCACAGGCAGTAGACGTTGAAAGTAAGCGCGACAGCCATCGCATGACGAGCACTCCAAGCATACTGAGGCCTCAGGCGATCACTCCATTGCCTCAGACGGCGAGTAGCTGGACTGAGGACAATGAGGCCACCTGCCGTCAGCTAATTTGTTTCATAAGTGAAAGATATATATTTAGCTGGCCATTCAATTTCAGTGTCAATATATAGGTAGAGCAGGTAGTGGCACAATCGCTGCAGGCAAGGTTGAACTACACAGATCTTGCAGCAATCCACCCGACATGCGGAAGCGCCCCGATGCTAATGAGAGTTACAGAGTGAGCACCGCGCCAGACCGGGCAAGGAATTATTTAGGAAGCTTTGGAAACTTCAATTCAACGTTTATCATCAACTAGCAAGGTGGTAAGGAATCACACAGAGACTTTAGTATACCAGTGAAATAAGGAATTAAAATGTCAAGTCATAATATTAGACCGTGATAGAAAGAAAGAAGCGATAAAAGAACCTAAGCCACTCTGGAGGCCGCTGAGGCAGGGTGGATGTAAGTTAGCGAGTTCACAGCCTGCATAGAGTAGAGTCATATCTCTTTACTAAAAATAGGAGAGGATAATTGGGGCCACTAAATAATTCTATATATGAAACTAGCTGATGGCATAGTGGCGCATGTCTGTGGTCGCGCCATGCTATCTGGGGCGCTAAGCTGAGCAGGAGATCATTGAGCCAAAGTTTGATGTTGGTGGAAGCTAGGCTGGATGGCACATGTTTAAAAGAAATCTTACTTTATGTGGCAAGACAGATGTAGAGCTCAGTGTCTCAAAAACCAAAAAAAGAAAAAAAAAAGAATGTCAAGTTCTTAAGCAATCTGAGGCAAATGAAAATACAAACTATACTCACAACAAAAAAAAGGAAAGAATCAGTCTGTTGCTCTATTGAGGAACCATGTCTGATTTGTTTTGCTTTTCTACAAAATTACTCTGATACCCGGTACCTCCGGTAGATTTACTAAGTTTGGCAAATCATGCCCTTTACATTGTTTCCTCCCCGATCTCACCCTAAATGAGCCCTAACGCCAGAATCCTATACCTAAATGCGCTGCATCTGAGTCAACAGTAACACGGATGTCGTCTCTTTGCATTCTCTTCAAAGCGTTCCTTTTTCTTCCACAGTCACGGTTCCTTCCCATCGGCCTGGAAGAAGACATGTCTGAAGTGATCAGGAACCTCACATGCTGACACATCAATCACATCTTCCAGCAGGAGGAAACTGGTTTGTCCATTTTAGAAGAACGATCCTGCTTTTCAGGCTTTTGGTTTAAATGAGTTGGGGTTTTATTATTGGTTTTGTGTGTTTCTGCAGAACTGTAGCGTATTTCTTGTGGCAATTAGTAAAAGTGCAGAGATGTGGTGCAGGTTAAGCCCAGCTCTGGATGTTCTGTTTTGGCTCGTAGTTCTTTAAAAATTTGAACTATGTTGACAATATTTTTAAAATGAGGAAAGTTTATGTGACATTCTGCTTAATGGGGTTCGCCCTGAAATCAGAACAGCTGGTATTTTTAATGGTGTAATAGCTTCTTCCTTACCTGGAGCGGGCATTACCTGGTCCACATCTCTAATTTGTTATTGCCCATGATAGGCATTGGGTTGGACCCCTGCATTAGTCACACAATTTCTATGAAAGTCGGTGCCTTGTAAGTGTCTGTCATTCGTCACGTGAGTTCCGTGATCAATTTCCCGCCAGTTTAATATTAACGCATAGTCAGCATCTACATTAATGCTATGTTGGTGAGACAACCACCTATGCTTTGGCATTTTAGCAGATGACGCAGTGCTGAGCCTGAATCATCGGATACAGAAGACTCTCGTATGGCGTAATAGTGATTCGGTGTTCACAGTTTTCGCCATGTTCTGCGGTCACCATTAGAGTGATACGTATATCACTATTGTGTTCTGAACCTTTGAGTTGAAAACATAAAGGGCAGGCTGCATTTTATAGCCCAAATATCTGTGCCAACTGCATGGAGGATAATCTGACTTCATTCAAAGTCTTCAGCTTCCAATCTCGTTCGTGACTTGTTTTGATACTGGCTGAGCCTGTTTGCCGATTGTGTGTCACCATGAAACTTCTATTGGCATGCTTCAGTTGCCACCTCCTCATTTGATACAAAATGGTGTTCTCAAGATTGTGGCAAGCATGATAGTGGTCCTCGCTCGTTAGGAGTTAATTGGTCGCTTCTTTTTTATAATAAAATTATTATTTATTTTATAATAAATGTCCCGTTGGATCACGAGAATTCAACTTCTCCCTCCCCCATTTTATAGAAACAGTAAATCCTCTTCAGTCTATTTCTTTCATATTCCCCAACTTAAAAGAAACAATAAGAACCAAATGGTAATAACAAGGCAGGCTATGATGTAGAACTTGGCTGCCCTTGTTGTCCCTTTCTGAGAACTCTCAGATGTTCTACATTTACAGCAGTGCTAACATTTTTCTCTTTTACTGATGTCTCCATCAGGTGTAGTTACTCCTCAGGATAATCATGTGCCCCGATCGAAATAGCTAAATGTGTGAACATGAGCCTTTTTGTACATACTTTTCCATTTTCTGTTAAATCTTACAACTCTTTCGCTGCTTTTGTCGTTTTTACCTGGCATTCGGACTAATGCCTCTAACCTACCAGATTTGTTTACGTACGATTGGCATGTGTGCGCTCATATCGATTGAGGGAACAGTAGAGGGTTTCACAGAAAGTTATCGTTTCCTCTTTGTCCAGAAATCACCCAGGGAAAAATGATTAACTGATATAAATTTACAGTGCCCGGATGAATGAGAAGCATTAGACCAAATTCAACAACATCTATTATGTGCTGCAATGATGGGCTACTACAGATGACAGCAAAAGCTGGAAAACCTTATACCACGAGCAGTGACCCTAGAGATGCTCTGTGGTCATATTAGAGAGAGACTTTCTGTGAATAACCATTCATTTCCTTACCTGACAAGTCTTCTAAGGCCAATAGGCAATAGAAGTCAGCCTTTTTGCTTTTGTGTTTTACATTGAGGCATTTATGACAACCTGCATACTTTTCCCATGGTATGCCTGGCTTCCTTATCAGGTTAATTCTCGCTACAAAGGCGTCTCTCTCTCTCTCACCAAACATTGGACTCTCCGCGCTCTCTCTCTCTCTCCTCCTTTTTCTCAATGCGATATCCTGTTGTGAGACTATTACCACGGTATCAGTAGCGTTCTAAGCGCTGGCTTCCCTGATAACTCTCCTCGACTACTTTCTGAACACCTTAATCTCACTATGGCCCAAAAAGGTGCCATAATTATATATCTCAAGCTTTATTAAAACAAAACAAAGTAAAAAAAATTGTTGTAGTCTCTTATATGCTTCTTGGATGACCTATGTCAGTGTGAACACCTTTATTTTTCATCAATACATCCAACCTACCATTTCACCTAAGTGTGCTGAGGCGGTAATAGTATAGAGTCCACCTAGAAAATAGGTGATAATACACATAGGTCCCGCAATTTGTAATGCCAGGAATGGCTCTTGGAATAGCATTGGTAACAGGGGGAATGCGACTTTTTCACAAACTAAAGAAAAGCATACAAGGTAATGTAATATCATTGGTCAAGATCACAGGTTGTGTACATAGGAAAGACTAGGGGACAGTTAAAAAGCAAAAGTATCCTTTTTATTTGACAGCATTATTTTTGACAATGTGCCGACATCACTTATTTTTCATTGGTCCCCCATCATTTGTCATTTGAATACATTAATTGAATTAATTAACAATTAATGCACGCTTTAGATAGATAGCTCTCCATAGAGCTACTTCATTGCAATTCCTAGTAAACGCATATTTTGGAGATGCTCTTTCCCACAGAGGAATGACATAGCTTTTTCTAATCCCGCAGCTGATTCCTCAACTGGGAGCATCCCTCCTAATCATCGGCGCGCTCGCTGCACACCTGGATGTCCCGATCCCCAGGCCCCACTCCCATGGTCTGAGGATCTATTGCTCTCACGAAGTTTTCTGCTGGCCGCCTTGTGCTGATTTGGCACACTCTGATGAACCTCTGTTATGGAGAAAAAATCACAACATCCTCTCCTTCT